ATTCCAAATTATAAAGTATTTGTTTGAAAATTGTGAAATGAATTATCATATAACTCATATTTGAAAAATTATGTATTTTGGTTCATGACAATGTTAAATCCTTGTTATTCTATGTTGACGTTGATTATGAAAGAATGATAACAAATATAATGTACAATTGGATATGTATTTACAATTAATGATAGATGCATTAGTTGAAAATTTGCTTTAGGTAATGAGTAATTAAATTTACAATGGAAGTTGAACATTGAATGGCAACAAAAGTAGCTAATGGAACTATTTGGTCAAATTGATTTGTTACTTACATTTATAAACTGATAGTTGTCAATATTCAATATGATAATCAAAACGTTATACATCTTGTTACAAATCAAACATCATAATAAAACACGTCAATATTATGTATCATTTTATCAAAGAAAGCATAATTTAATAAAAAGATTAAGCTAATTAAAATTGACATTATATCAAATCTAGCTGATGTATTGATCAAAATTATTTATTTGATTTTTTGGGGATATATTGTATTATTTTTTAGGTTGAGTAGAATTTATGATCAATTTTGTTAACTCTATGTATATATTAGATGTATATATTAGCCGTATGTATTAACTACGGCTTTAGTTAAGTTCAAAAAAGATTATTATATCATCTTTGTTAGATTTCTTTTAAGATTTTTTTTAACTAATTATATAAATTATGAAGTTTACAATTTTCATTACATTAAATAAGGAGTAGATTGTTACGACATAACTTATGTCTTTTGCTAATTTGAATTAGCCAGATTCGAATTCACTTAATACTTAACTTTAACACCTCTAACATTGTCAGTATATAGGTGTTTTAGTACCATTTTATAGGTTTTATGGATTGAATCTCTAATGTATTGTGAAGCTAAAGTGTATAAACCACATATGTTTTCTATGCATGTTGTTGTGTTTAGCTGTATACTTTATTACTGGTTTTTAATTTTAAAATGATACAAAGATGAAACATATGAACATAAATTCATCACATAGTTATGATGACTTGGGATAAATGCATTATGAGATTTATAGTGCGTATGGTTTACTTAGTTAAAGAACAAATATTGATAAACTTCTAAAATATATATATATATATAATTATTTCATAGATTAAAATTGTATATATAATAAGATTTTGATTGCAAATTGAATTGAATTTAGATTTTTTTCATATATTAACTTTATAGTATACAAAAAGCAACATATCTATTGATGTTATTGTGTGAATTCATATGTTTTTAATAATGATATTTTACAAATCAAAATTGCAATTCTTCATTTAGAACAAAATATATGTCAACATTTTATGTAAAAATATTAAATTTTCAAAATTTAAGACAGATTGATTAAATTTAATGAGATCTTTGTATTCAAGTATCTCTTTTCAATATTTTGAATTGAAATACAATGTTTAGATTAAAAATATAGTTTTATAGTAAAGCATCAAAAAATGTGAGTATTATAAATTGAAAGCAATAAAGAACTTGAAAAAATTTTATTTTTCAGAATGCTCAATAAAATCGAGTAAGATAAATTATTCATTAATATAAAATGAAAAAAATTCATATCTCATATATTTTTAGCTATATAAAATGCAATATTGAGATTGTAATTCATAATGATAATCCAAGTAAAGTCTTGATTCATAAACCTAACACAAGTTCTCATTAATGTTGAATATTTTTTTATCACAAATTTCTTTTGTTGAATATGGACATCTTTCTAATATATGATATTTAAATGATATTAACTGCATTGTTGTATGAAAATTCAAAATATAATCCGTACAATGACTCATGTCAAGGTTTACAATATTGAAAATTAATGGATTAAATTTTTTTCATATTTTACTTTTTAACAGAATAAAAAATGATGATATAAAAAATAAATCTTTATTACAAAAGTCTTAATTTGCAATTTCAATAATTTATTAATATATATGTCTCTTTTCATATGACATTAGAAGATTATATTAGATAATGATTAAAGTGATACACATTTTATATAATGATTGATTTCAATAAACAATGATTCATACAAATTTTAAACTACATTTCTTTTGTATTACTAAACAAAATCAATATTGCATAGCAAAATAAGTTAGTGTACAATGTGTAAATTAAATGAGATAAATGCCATCAGGTTAATGATTTGTTATAGTTTTAATTTTTTAAAAACATTCTATTTATATTACGCTGTCAATAATTATTTTGGTGTATATATATATATAATATAATATCTCTGCTACCTACAAGTTTATGAAATAATTGTGTGTATAGTATAATATAGTATTTGCATAATCATAGTGTAAATTATGATTAAAGATGTGTAGTTTTTAAAAATCAAATACATTTTGAAGATATATACAAGATAGATGTGTATCTAAATACATAAGTTAAACAAAGTCATGACGAAAATTAATTTCAATGATTAATCAACACAACATTCTTAACTAAGGAGTATGAAGACATAATTGTAACAGTTGATTAGAATAGATTAAAATATGTTAACTTTAAATTTTTTATTGAATAATATATGCAAATAGAACAAACCTTATAAACAAAGCAATTAAATAACATACTTAACAAGAATATTGTTGAGAAAATGAGATTAAAAATGCAACAAAATGACTGATTTACTAATGTGTTATTGATGTAAAAGATTGTATACTTGTTGATCAATATTATATCAACAAAAGAAGGAGATATATTGTATATGTATTACCAGAAAAATTAAAATTATTAAGATATATAAATTTCATTAAAATTATGAACATCATTTATTTGTCAAATCTTAGCAGAAAATTCAGAATTCAAATTACTTAGATAATTTTAGCATATACAATTATATTAAAATCATAAAAATTTAATAAAGTAAAAAAAATGGTTTTATGAACATTAATATAACTACAAGATGTCTTACACATTCTGTCTGTGATAAAATAAAACTACATTCATGAAAAAATGTCAAATATTTTAATGAATTTCAGAAAGTAAACAAAAGACTTCATAATCTGCTTTGGTGTGATTTTGTTCCATTGTCTATATTTATTTGGAAAATAACAGTACATATTTTCTATTGATTATCACAACCTAAAAGAAGTTGTATTGAAGTTAAATCAACTTGTTATCTAGACATTGCACGTTGTCCCACTGAGCGCTATTCATCATAGCATATTTGACAGTTTCTAATTTATGAAGTAATTTGATCTGAATTGTCCGACACAACAATGTCCGGGGCTTTGTCAGTTAAAATCTGTATTTCATTAAATTTTTTGTGTAGCCATGAAATAAATGGTGATATCTGCGATCTTAGCAGTTATTAACCAAAAAACATCAATATCAACCTACTAAATCTACCACATTACCTATATATGGTCACATAAGAAATGAAACCAACATTGTTAAAATACAAATTTATTGAGATCAATAATCATGTGTTCAAAAAGATTTTCTAAATTTTCATCCCTAACAGAGAAAGATGTACTCTTTATTGATTATTTTGTAGATTCTTATATAGATTGTATTGCCCGCATTTATTCTCCATTTTATACCATCAATCTGAAAATTTGGAATATTTTATTTGCTCATGCATCTATCTAGACTTTATTTGGAACACAAATAATCATAAAAAATGTCCTCGTCATTTCAATTTCTAACATAATCTATTGAATCATGATGATTTTAATATTCAAAGTCTTAGATATACTACTCATCACAAAGTTGTGGATTGCAGTGTTCGCATGGTTCCGAGGATAATAGATACAAATTTGCATTAGATGTTTTGTTTGCAATAACGTCAGTGAGTATTTTTTACAAACGCATTTTATACATGTTTGTCTAGGATAACATTTTTTCTTAAATGCTACTGAAGGACGAAAAATTAGACCGATATCAATCCGGATAACCTAAACTACGGACTCAATGAAATTCAGAATGAAGAAGGATTTGGGGTTTAGTGCAAGAAACGACGCTAAGACATAGAAGGCTTTGGTATAGCTGGAAGTAGAAGCAAATTTATTAAAGTAATGGTGTGAGAACCAGGGTTTGACATTCCCCCGGGAATAGATTTTACTTACTTCCGGAACAGCGGGACAACCGGAGGAATCCGCTGGTGCACTCTTGCTAAGAGGGGGCTACACCGGAAGGATTTCTAAGAGGGGGCTACACCGGAAGGATTTCTAAGACGGGGCTACACCGGAAGGATTGCTAAGAGGGGGCTACACCGGAAGGATTTCTAAGAGGGGGCTAGACCGGAAGGATTTCTAAGACGGGGCTACACCGGAAGGATTGCTAAGAGGGGGCTACACCGGAAGGATTTCTAAGAGGGGGCTACACCGGAAGGATTTCTAAGAGGGGGCTACACCTGAAGGATTTCTAAGAGGGGGCTACACCGGAAGGATTGCTAAGAGGGGGCTAGACCGGAAGGTTTTTTTCGTGAGCGCATTTTTTAAACCCTACACGAGGACGTTTTGACAACGGGTGTCACAAAACGTTCGGGGCGTAGCCCCGGACGTTTTGTGGCGCATTTCCGGGGTCTCCCGGTGGTTTTGAGCCATGCCTGTCAAACCCTGGTGAGAACATTAATGATCAAATGAAACCATGTACATGACGAAGAGACATCAAAGAGTTCCTAGAAACCAAACGGGGATCGTAAGCCGGCCGATGTCACAACTCATAGAGACCCGTTGTAAATGTCATTTTATTGAAAAATTTTTGGGAGCACTCACACGTAAATAGTCGACTCAATAGCTTTCAATCCACTGAGAACCCCCGGGAATTTTTTCCGAAAATATCCGGGCGACCCCGAGAAATCAAGAATGCTCTAGTCAAAACGTCGGGGCGTAGCCCCGGACGTTTTGTGGCGCATTTCCGGGGTCTCCCGGTGGTTTTGAGCCATGCCTGTCAAACCCTGGTGAGAACATTAATGATCAAATGAAACCATGTACATGACGAAGAGACATCAAAGAGTTCCTAGAAACCAAACGGGGATCGTAAGCCGGCCGATGTCACAACTCATAGAGACCCCATGATTTTCAAGTTCGGCCACAGACTTAGTGCTTTTTCTGAAGGCGCTAAGATCCTGTGGGGCATGGGCAGTAAGTAAGGTACAGGGTTGTCGAGTAAGGACCAGACCCGAGGTTGAGTGCAGGCAGGGTGTGTCCGAGTGCCTTCAGAGCTCTTAGTCGTCAGTGCAGCGAAGGAAGAGGCGAGAGGCATTTAGGGTTTGAATATTGCAATTGCTGGGGTTTTTTCGAAGGTGAGAGTTCTCGCGAGACGAGTGAGAGGAGTGGGAGCGAAACAGGGGACGAAGCCAAAGAGCGCGAAAATGGCAGAGACTGACGATGGTGGGCATCACATGCATGCGCTCACGGAATACCGGAAGAAGCTTTTGTCGCACAAGGAGCTCGACTCGAAACTGAAAACCCGTATGTTGTCTAATTTCGCTGTAATCAATTACGAATCAGTTCCCGTTTGTTTCATCACGTCGGTGTAGGAAGTCATGCTTTGATTTGCGCTTGTGTCTGGGCGTTCTCAGTCTCCTACAAGTATTCAGTGGTGTATCTTCGGCGAGTTATGGCTTTGCTCGTCTACCGGGTTGCCTCCTTTGTCTTCGTGTTTGTTCTTTGATCCGATCGCAGGTTGTGATTGCCTTCTTGATAGCTCGGGGAACAAACGGAAGGTGTGGATTACAATTTTACCGCAATTTACAGGAAGAGCTGGACTATGAGTGGGTTGTGAGACGATGACGTGTAATTGAAGTTTATTGAAGTGTTTGCCTGGTTCATCAAGCGGATCGGCTCACTCATACCTAGTAGATTGGATACAGATGGGCTTATGGACATATAGACGTCGCTATTGGTGACGCCACTTCCTGTGTTACAAACACCCTCACCGTAGGTAATTACGGTATTGTCTGCCACGTTAGGTGGCACGTTCTGCCGAGTGGAGACCTGGATAGGACACTTATTAATGATGGTGATCTTTCTGCAACAGTGCGTGAAAATCAGAAGTCAGCAAAGAAGGAGTTTGACAAGACTGAAGATGACCTGAAAGCTCTTCAAAGTGTTGGACAAATTATCGGCGAAGTGTTGAGACAACTCGACAATGAGCGCTGTAAGTGGTGAAATGTCTTTTCTACCTTCAGGCTGAAATTTAATTTCGTCGATTCTGCTCTCGCAATATTTGGGTGTACACGTTTTGAAAACGGCCACATCAATGTCGAAGCTGCTTTCGTTACGGCCTTGGAGCATCGCTAGGAACAGGTTTGATGGTTACGTAAGACTTGAAATCAGGCAGTTCCCGGAGTCAATGTAGGACGTTTATGCACATCGCTTAGCACGTAATTTGACTCTTTCAACGTTCTTTCGGTTCCGAAGATAATTCTTTGGAGTTGCATAGGTCCAATTCTCTCTCTACATTACTAGTCTTTGGAGATTATTATTCTTCGATTTTATCTCTACTGAAAGTAAGGAAGAACTTATCGTAGCCGTAATTGCACCGGATTTCAGTGGTTATGTACACCTACCTCAATTCGGCAACCTTGTCATGAAGGTGAAAACTCAGTGGAATAAATGTAATAAACTTCAATAAACTCAACTGAACGAAGTGGAAGAAACTTCAGTTTGTAGAATTTGGTTCGAGCGGGGTTTTTGAAGCAGCAAGGATCACTCTGAACTGAGTTCTATTTTGCTGCCTCCCTCTCGTTGTACGCTGTTTGTAGGATATTGTAGTAGATTTGGTTAATAGTGTTGGTGAATGGAACTTTTTCTGCGCAATTCAAAAGATGGGAACGTCAAACTTCGGGAAGATATCTCGGATCACTCAGTGTGGCGCCGGCCCATAAGCTGTATAGGTTTCACCCAAGATTAACGTCCAAACCATTCGAGTCAATTGTACAAGCACACTCAGATCAGAATTGCATGAAGCCTGGAAGTTATCCCAGTTAATTCTTGAGAATATGCTTGCGGGGATAACATGAAGACTGTACCGTGGACAGTAATTGTGAAGGCAAGCAGTGGTCCCCGTTACGTCGTGGGATGCCGTAACAAGGTCGACAAGGAGAAGTTGGCCGCCGGTACCAGAGTTGCGCTTGACATGACTACTCTCACCATAATGCGTGCTCTTCCAAGAGAGGTAAGGGGTCAGTCACGTTTACGTTTTACAGAATGGTGGAAGGTGGACCAGTTTGTTGAAACATTCAGGAAGTACAAAGAAGCAGTGAAGTGCCGAGTAGAGTTTGAGCTTTGTTCGTCTGCATGCTTCAGGTCGATCCTGTTGTATATAACATGTTACACGAGGATCCAGGAAACGTTAGTTATTCTGCAGTAGGAGGGCTGAACGAGCAAATTCGCGCCCTTCGTGAGTCAATTGAACTACCGTTGATGAACCCTGAACTTTTTGTCAGAGTTGGCATCAAGCCTCCAAAGGTGTGTGACTCCTGTTCGTCGTATTTTTACTTCGTTTCATAACTGCTCATAAGTTTGGGACATTATCTTCCCATGTGCACGCAGGATAGCTGTATTTTGAGTGGGTTGCCATTTCGAAGATCTAGTAACTTCAGGATCTGACATGCAATCTCATATATCGTAGGGTGTACTTCTTTACGGGCCCCCTGGAACTGGGAAGACCCTACTTGCTCGGGCTATTGCAAGTAACATTGACGCCAATTTTCTCAAGGTAACGTCATTTCCACTAGTCATGTGAAGAGTTCACTTGAGCGTTCTTGAGACGTCGAAATCAACTTAGGCACTAATTATTTTATTCTGTGACAGGTCGTATCCAGTGCTATTGTAGATAAGTATATCGGTGAAAGTGCACGCCTCATCAGGGAAATGTTCGGTTACGCACGCGATCATCAAGTAAGTTTCTCTTCAGTTAGAGTGGTGTCGTCATTTCGCACTACGAAGTCACCTTGGCTACTTATGATCACTCTAAATTCATTCAAAAGTTGTAGATTTATGCGCGTATCACTCAGATTCTCTTTGTCTTGTACTTCACAGCCTTGCATTATATTTATGGACGAAATCGATGCTATTGGTGGGCGACGTTTCAGCGAAGGTACGAGTGCAGATCGTGAGATCCAAAGAACACTTATGGAGCTGTTGAATCAGTTAGATGGTTTTGACCAGCTCGGAAAGGTATGAAACCCCTTAGCTGTCTTAAGGTGTGCTACTCGAGGATTTATTGACTAGTATGCAGTCTACTCGTACACTCTGTCCTCAATTTATTGTCAAAACGAAGTTTTTGAGATATATGATAAGACATTCTGCCGTTCCGTTGATGATCCATGGTTAGTCTTACACTGAGTTTGTACCTCTGCTTTCCTCACGCAGGTCAAGATGATCATGGCCACTAATCGTCCAGATGTTCTGGACCCAGCATTGCTCCGACCTGGTCGGTTAGATCGTAAAATCGAGATTCCTCTGCCAAACGAGCAGTCAAGGACTGAAATTCTGAAGATTCATGCATCTGGAATTACGAAGAGTGGGGAAATTGATTACGAGGCAATTGTGAAACTTGCCGAGGTACATATGCGTAGGCTTTTCTTCGGAGTTTCGACCTAATTTTGAACTGTGAATGCTGTGGTCTTCTGGTAAAAAGAAATGCAGAAGTGGATGCGAGTAAGCTTTTAAGGTTTTCCAAGAATCGATTATTTCTTTGTCTATCTCAAGTTAAACATATTGACTTTAGAAATTGTACTTTTTTTCTTATACTTTTTCTTATTGTGCTTGTTGTCAACTTTTCAGGGATTCAACGGTGCCGATTTGCGAAATGTCTGTACAGAAGCTGGCATGTTTGCAATTCGCAATGAGCGAGACTATGTTACTCAAGAAGACTTCATGAAGGTAAGGGGACATCCAATAAGATGTTTTCTGATTTTCATATCCCATTGCCACTGTTCGCAAGGGTAGCTAGTTCTTAGTTGCGTTGCTGTTGTGGACCTCTTTAGGTGGCCAAGCAATCCGCGCCTTTGTCTGCGTTGTCTCGGGAGCTAATACTTCAATAGATGTATCAGGACGAACGAAGTTTTCAGAATTTTGGAACTCACTTAAAGAGGTGGTTTTGTTGTTTGTGTAGGCTGTCCGGAAATTGAATGATGCCAAGAAGTTGGAGTCGAGTGCTCATTACAGTACAGATTTCGCAAAGGATTAAGAAGGTTGTATCTTTTAGTTTGGGTTCAGAGCCCACATTAAATCCATCAATAAAGGCTGTAGATAAAAAGTGTTTTCGTCACCCCTTCTACTGTTGTCATAGTGCAATCCAGTAGGGTTATGTCGAAGGGTGCAATCTCTTTCCTTCTCTTCGATTGGCCGTGGCTTGAAGCTTGCGATAGATGAAAGAGAAGAACAATTCAGTATCAAATTCTATGGCACGAGATGGTGGCAACAGTAATGGCAAAGGGCTCTCTCTTGAAGAAGATGATGGAGATGACTAATCTGCATGTAAAGGCTTCCACAACAACTCTCATCTGATACAAGTTTGAAGCCTCTGATATCCCATTGGTTGGACTTGCAAACTATGCAAGCCTTGACGTAGTTACTTTACCAATTTTGTACACTCTTAGACTCCACTGTTCTCCAGCTCTTGAAAGCTGGAAATGTGAAGGCATGCCTTCATTGTGTATCAAAGTCGATCAAGCTTGTCAGAAATGTGCATCTTTTCAATTTTCTCTCATATGCCGAATGGAGGTAGTGAGAAGCATGATGATTTTTGATCTTTCGTGGAATGTTTAGAGTAAAGCTGACTGTGTGCCAACAGCGTTTTGCTCATAATAAATCGCTCACTGGTCGGTAAGTTTAGTATTTTGTTTGACAGGATGAGAACGGTCTTTCGCGAATCCAGCAGCTCAAAAGGGAGATGCCTTCAGGAGCCAGAACATGTAAGACTCGTCTATGACGATCATGTGGGTCTTACGTAGAAGAATACGTAGGAAGTAACAAGTCGTGTCAGAACAATTTATAGCCTTCGCTATTTGCGTCGATTTACTTGATGTTTACTGTTCGAAGTTTATTACGATGACATCTGCCATTAGGTTTCTTTCTGAGGAATTCCCTGCTTTTCCAGCACGAGCTTGAGCAAAAACAATTTTGATGTTCGACTTCATGCCTTGCCGAGCATTTTATATGTTTAACCAACTTTTTATGATTCATACCAACAGGAAGCTTGACAGGTTTCTTATGTGGGAGATTCACTGATTGCTCTTGTAGTCGTTGATTGTTCTTTTTTTTGCCGACATTCTCGGTTTTCTTGTTACTTTGTCCTTCTTTGTTGGTTCACAAGATTCAGATCTCTACGGAATAGAGGTTTCAGTACCACACGGATTGATCACGTCACGACTGTGTGCCGTCGGTCTTTCTGTTATCACTTGTATTCTTTTGAAATCTCTTTTGCTGGTTAGATTATCATGTTTCCTTAATGCTGTAAGTATATCATCCTGGGTACCTTCTAGCCAGTGAAAACTACTCTGAACTTCTATTGTCTTCTTTCGCAGGTTGTGTCAGCTAAGTTGTCGGTAAGTATGAAGCTGCCTACCGTTTATGTGTTACCGAATGCAGAGGGCTCTTACCCCACTAATTGCATTTTGAACACACTAGTCTCTTGTTCGCTTACTTACAAAGTGCAAAGTGCCGGAGGGGGGTTTTTTTTTAAAGTATGAAGCCACTTGTTTGCGTAGTTCTCTGATGCAAGCATTTTTAACTAAATGCACTGTATTTAGTGTTTACCCTTTTTCATAGTATTTACTGTAATTCGTGGATTTGATGAGACGTCTTCAAATAACCAGCCGGCGCACGTAGTTGTTACCATGGGACCAACTGTTGGGGACCCTCGACAATCTTAAGAGAAGATTTGTCCATTCGATATTTCCTGGTTTTCACCCGGATGCCACGCATCTCCTCGTCAGACTTGTGGTTCTAATGGTGATCTCTTTCCTTGCATTTGTTACCTTATTTTTGGTGCTGCTGGTGAAGAGTTTCAACCTTTTTGATTGTTATACTGAACATCATTTTTACTGGAGCTTCAACCTCGATTCTAATGACCTTCAAAGCGTAATCCGGTTCATTGTTGAACCCCTATGCTTGTACTTGTTTTATCTGAATGAGGCGACGCCTGTAATTTTACTTGAATAACACGGCCGATCGAGTTTCTCGCATCGGGTGTCATTTACACCTAATCCTCCGTGTAGTGCTAGAACCTTTTCTTCTTTTGAGTGCACACGAAGTACTGCTCAATCAGAAATCTGGACAGTCTAGAATTCAGACTTTTGTCAGTCGTCAGATTAGTCGAGGTCCAGTGTGGTGGAAGAGGATGTTAGTTTTAGCGCATCAGCATTACGAGGATTGCTATTAAAGTTTCTTAATAGACTGAGGTCAGTTAGCTGCAGTAGAGCTTCCCGCATGTAAACCCTATGAACGGTGCCCCCTGACCAATCAGCCGCAATTGGGGTGGAGTGTGGACTTCTTAATCTTATACCTTCAGACAGAAGCTGTGTAGTCGCATCTGCAAGTTCGGCTACAACGTTTCTTGCGTCCGAGAACGTCTGTAGGGTGTAGTTTACCTCACGGCATCGGGAAAGACGAAGTGGCTTGCGAACTGCGGTCGTTGTTGTGAAGTTGCGAGTCGCTGTCCTATACCCTCTCGGTTCTGGATTTAATCCAGACGTGGCCGGGTTGTGCATTTCCTGTAACGGGTCGTCAGTACGGATGATCCTGTTGGAATGAATTGCGGGTTGTGGTTTGTCAGCCGGGTCCTGTTGATTACGTCGCCTTTCCAAGGCGCGGGCTATGTCTACGGCTATGGTGAAGTGAGGTGGGCCAGGCTGGGAATGCTAACCACGGTCACATGTGGGGTCAGCCAGTGGCGGGGCAGGTTGGGTCACACTAAGATGATGACCCTTAGCAGAAATCTGCACCGCGTGTTCATGCACCGAAGATGATGCACTATAGCCTTTCCATGATGTATGCGCATCGCTGGATGCACATACCACCATGTATGCATGCGAGTGACGCACCTGGGGTAAGCTTCAGTAGTCGGGGAACACGTGTCTGCGAACCGTACCAGATGGACCTTGTTACTTTCTATGATGCCTCAGCGGCGATCGACGCTGCCTGCCTGCAAGTCTGGGACCATGAGCGACCACCCTTATTTTCATAGCTGGTTTCCCAGGCGAAACTACTCCTGTTTTAGCTACTGCGGTGACTCAGCTGCCCAATACAACCCACTGTGTCCTGTGTGCTCTGCCCAGCTTTCTCAAATTGGTTGCTACGATGACTATACGGTCCTTTTAAGTCCTGCCATCTGCAATTTTTCTACCCCATTCAGCGCAAGGGACCTGCCACGTGTGATGCGGGAGAGCCAACTTGGCCCGCTCATTCGAATGTCTGTTGATGATCTCAATAAGCTTTCTCAACACACTTACAGCGTTTTCAACGTGGTGGTCTCGCTTCGGGTAATCTGCGGAAGGTACCGTGGTGTACCTCGGTAGGATCTCCCCAGGCAGCTAAATGTTACCGTCGCAAAGCATGTTATCTGTGCACATTATATATTGCGCACATTATATATACGCATTGGGAGATTGGGAGACATTCTCGTTAGATATGTCTACCAAGCAGGAGCAAGCGGACATGTCGTTACCAGCCGTACTCAGATAATGTCGCATGCTCAAGTTACAAGTATGATTGTTCATTACAACGGGTTTGGTCACGACCATGCAACAGAAGTGTGGAAGACGGTCCGTCTAAGTTGACAAGCGTACTATATATGTTATGGAAATACAGGGAACAACAATTTTTCATCTTCGTGCTTGAGTCACTAAGTTTTTACCTGGATCCGATATGGGGACCGTGCAAGTAACAAGTAGGGAGGGTTTTTAAAGGTGGTGAATCCGATGTCATGCATCTCCTCATGCGAGATGCATGGATAACATGAGCGGGATGAGAAGAGGGATGCATCCATACATGGGGAAGAGTGCGGAACCAATGAGCAAACACATACTGCCGGCCGCTGTATGTCACATATCTGTGCCAAAACATGTATGTATGTTCAGGCATCGCCATGCATCATGAGCAAGATGCATGAAAGCGTGTTTGACCGCCCTCTGCCGACCCACTCAACGACAACTTTTGAAGATAAGAAGGGAATCAATCTCTACGTGTCACGCGATAATATGTCAGAACCCAGTGTATCGAGGTCTTTCTCTATCCTCGAATCAGAGAGCAGGTAAATAGGTAATGGTAATGATCCGATACGCGCCTCCACTGCCTACTACTAAACTTACCGAAAACTTACTGCCGAAATGAGCCGTCGATGTGGAAATCTGACCGTCAAAATAGCGGCTCTCTTCATAACCCGCAGCTCGCATTATAGGTAGAAGTCACAGTAATCATCTTCTACGCGCACCTTGTAAATGCGTGAAATTGCCACCAGATCTGGTCCGTCGAGGACCCGATCCGATCGCATCGGACGGGGGGCGTTGGTCTTGTTTGTCCTAAGCGCTCATGCCTGGAAAATCATAACTTCAGTCAAGTAAGAATCATAACTCACTTAATCCGGTCGAAACAGTGAACTCAGGCTTGCTCTCGCAGTCAGAGGGGTGGCGGACATGGCAGCCCACGTAAGGAACGGATGCTGACAGGGATAGAAGACGTGGCCACCGAAGCGATCTGGCACAAGGTGGATGGTAAGCACTGTGCCAAACGGGTTCGCGAATGGTGAGGGTGCAATTACGAATAATGCCTGAGCACAATAAAAAAGTGGTCGCAAAAAGGCTCAGCGTGCCGGACGCGCGGGCAGGGTGAGGGAAAGGAGCGGGGCGGGTCGGGCAGCTCGGGATCGAGGGAGGGACTGGAAAGCGAAGACGGGAGAGGGGGTGGGGGCAGGGAGGACGAGCGCAGGACGGGCGAAGTGAAGGGGGAGCCGGGCTGGTGCAGCGCGATGCGATGCGATGCGCGGAGGAGGAAGGCAAGGCAGGCCCAGAGGACGTAGTCGTCCAATGGCTGCTCAGCCAGTCCAGTGAGTAACAAGCCCAACGAGAACGAAGAAGGGAAGGGAAGGGAAGGGAAGGGGAGGGAGGGGAAGGCAGGCAGGCAGGCGAGGCGAGGCAAGAGAAGAAGCAGTGGCTGCTTAGCTCGCCCAGTGAGCCCAAGCAGCAACAAGCCCAACGAGAACGCAGCAGTGCTACCGCTCGGCGAAAGCCCTCAGTGCCTAGCAACAGCAAGCCTAAGCGAAGGCTCGAGCGAAGAGAGTTTCAGATCGATAGTTTGTGCTCGTGCGCTGAGATGGTGTTGCAGCACCAACCCCCCAGCCTGTGACCCCGAGTGAGTGAAATTGCTGTGGCAGGTGCACGAGAGAGAGAGGTGCACGAGAGAGAGAGAGAGAGAGAGAGAGAGAGAGAGAGAGAGAGAGAGAGAGAGAGAGAGAGAGAGAGAGAGAGAGAGAGAGAGAGAGAGAGAGAGAGGCCGAGTCGATGATGATTTCTTGAGGAGATTTATCCACTGGGATTGTTGAGGGCCTAGTGCTGTGGACTGGGGCGGGCTTCTGCAGGTGGAGGCTGCTCGGTTTCATGGTCGATGTTGCTGTGGCAGCATTGTCGTAGCCTCGGGTCGGCTTGGCTTGCCGGCGTTGCGTTGTCTTAATTTGGTAGCAGGAGTTGGAAGAGAAGGAAGAGAAGAGTGGAGTGAAGAAGGTAAATGTCTTTTTTCTCGTCCCGAACATTTCCTCCCTCTTCAATCAGTCAGAGAGAGAGAGAGAGAGAGAGAGAGAGAGAGAGAGAGAGAGAGAGAGAGAGAGAGAGAGAGAGAGAGAGAGAGAGAGAGAGAGAGAGAGAGAGAGAGAGAGAGAGAGAGAGATATTCACTCCTATTTAGTCAAGGCGTCGTGAGCCACTGCTCCCGATGCCGAGCGAGTGAGTGAATGCATATGCTTGCTTTTCCGTTGGATGCACTGTCTCGCAATCTCTGAATTGTCTTCCCCATAGCTCACCTACTGCGACGTGCCATCTCTCAGCTCGGTGGCTTCTGTCGCGTACCTTCCGAGCCAGTCTGCGATGCTCCGCGGGCGAGAGCTGCTCGAGTCTGAATGCCGATTGTAGCGGGTAGGTCGACTAGCGCTCGCCACTTTCTCATCCTCCTGTCGAGCTCCTGGCTCTGCTATATTGTGCCTAGGCACCGCCGGTGATCCGAACGGGGAGTGTGTCTCCCAGCTCGCGCAGGAGCTCGTCGGTCGTGGCGCCGGGAAGGGTAGAGAGAGCTGGAAGAAGCAGTGGCGTGGTCGAGCGGGGACTGACGCAATAGTGCGTGCATTCGTTGCTGTGCAGGTTGAGGAGTGAAGTGGCCAACCAATGGCGACCTCCGATGAGCCGCCTCCGGCAGGCTTAGCGGCAGGCTTGTCACGGGGCCCCTGGTCTCCTCCGACGTTCGATGTGGTGCGACGCTCGCCCCCGTTCTGGGGCGGCACGCCTGCGCCTGCTGCTGCTCCTGCTCCTCCCCCGTCCTCCAATTTCCTTGACCTAAATGCCCCCTTCGAAGAAGATCCGCAGCCCGCGAGCAGGCCCGACCTCGGAGGCCGAGGCCTGCCAAACTTCGTGGATCAGCTCGGCTCGGGCCCGTCCGGGGGCCCCGTCGAGGTGAGCTTTCTGCACCCCGCCAAGGGCAACGATGGCGACGGCCTGCGCTCTTTCCTGGACGCCACCGGCACCGCGAGGAATAATCATGACGCCGACGGTGCCTCGGGCGCTCGAGATCAAGACCCCGGATTGGACACGGGTCCGTTCGTCGATTATTTGTCGCAGTTTTCCGGAAAGAAAGAAGCCGATGCGCACGAGGCCGAGCCCCCGAAGCCCGAGACCGAGCGCACCGACTTTCCGGACGAGTTGTTGAGTCTTTCCTCTCTCTACCACAAGAAGCGCGGAGGAGGAGGTGGTGGTGGCGGTGGTGATTCTGGAGGGCGGCAGCTGGCCGATGGAGCAGCGTTGTTCCTAGCCTCCGGCAAGGGCCAAGAAGTGCCCGGCGCCGGGTTGCGCCAAGCGGAGCAGCAAATCCGCCACGCGAAGGAGTCCAGAGCGGGGCTTCTGGGAAATTTTGGCAGCAATAGATTGGATGATCTCGAGCATTTCAGAGAAGTAGAGAAGGTGTCGCACGTCGTAGAAGGACAGCAAGCGGGCCTGTCGATAGAAGAAAGGTCGTTGTTCCCGAGGAACGCTGTTAATAGTGATTCTTTCTTCCAAATGCCCAACATTGTCCGCGAGGAGAGGATGTCGAACATGGTCAGGGAGGAGCGAGTGCTGCTGCCCATGAACGTGTCGGCCCGAGAAACTCTGGATTTGTCCAACAACCTCGCGTTCAAGGAGGAGAAGGCCGCGATGTCGCGCCACGGCCGTGCGGCCGTGGAGTCTTCCAAGGAGGGCATGTCGCTCTCGCTCAAGCGCTCGTACGAGGACATGGACGCCGCCGAGGAGTACAACCGGCGGAGAGAGGAGGAGGTGGTGCAGGCCGCGCTCTATGGCCGCCAGCCCGAGGGCCGCGATGTGGAGGAGAACTCGGATGTGTCGGAGGTGTCGCACCTGAAGAGGAGGCGAGAGCGAGCCGGGGGCGAGGAGCAGAGGTTCCAGCACGACCTAAAGAGGGTCCAAAACGACCAAAGTGCTGCTGCTGCTGCCGCTGCCGCCGACGACAAGAGCATCGTCTGGCCTCCCGTGGTCATCATCGAGAACACGAGGCTCGGGTGGGACGACGAGCGCAAGCAGTGGAAGGGCCTGGGCCACGACGACATTCGCAAGTCGCTCAAGAACGTGGAGAACCTCGAGTACGCCAAGGTGAAATGCCTGTTCGACATGAACGGCCAGAAGAGCAGCGCGCTGGTGATTTTCCCCAACACCTTCGAGGGCTATTTCGAGGCCGAAGCCCTCAACGATCAGCTCGAGCGCAGCGGCAAAGGCCGAGATCAGTGGATGCGGGTGCGGCCTCAAGATCTGTACCCGAGGACCATGCGCGGATGGAACACCCCGGACCTCGTCTCCCCCGACGGCAAGCGGATACTCTACGGCTACCTCGCCATGCCCGAGGACATCCAACGAGCTGATCCTCACAAAAGCAGCCTCAAGTGGTTCGTCGAGAGCTTCAACGAGAAGGTTCGGAAACCGGCCCAGCAACGTCATCAGGTACCCTTCGATCTCCGCTCCTCTCTGACCGGCCTGCTCGCCTGGCTGCATGATGATCTGTGGCCTTGCGACGAGCGCGACATTGAGCGGTTGGGTACTGCCCTCTGTTTTCCGGAATGGTTTTGGTGCTGATAGCAGCTGCTGAAGGATCACTTTCGTCACTGAGTTGTGTCGGCCATAGCTCGTGTCCCCCGGACCCTGTGTAGCTTCTCCTTGGTGACTAGTTTCCCGTTGTCACAACCATGTCACGCTCTTGTAGATCCATTCCTTGGCTCACGCTGTTTCTGTGCACACTTCCTCTCCCTTCATGGCCAGCGTTACCTCTCGAGACCGTCAGCTGTCCAGCATGCGTTGTTGTTCGACCCGTCTACGTTCTGCTTGCTCTTTGTTCCTTTACCAGGTCGTTCTAGCGCAACCTTTTGTCGTCGACCTCTTCATCCGTACTAGAGCCCATCGATAGATTCTCTGCTCACGAGCAGTATTGAGCTAGAATGAGTACATGCCACCAACATTTTGTTTTATATTTTGGGACTGGCGTTCTTCGTTAGAGCCATTTCGTACTTGCAAGCTTTTTCAGTTTGTCTCAGACCACCTCAGGTTCCGTGCTTTTCCACCAGTAGGTGGCTAGGTGGCTGACTGGCTGTAACATGTTGATGGAAATCTGGCTTGCAAAACCGTAATTTGACTTTCTTCTCAAGTTTTGTGGGGTGACACCCTTTTCCTTGTTTGCGCAGATGCAGTGATTTCGTATCAGCTCTCTATTAATGGCGAACTTAGCCTTGACTTAACCCATCTATACTGAGCAATACTGATAACCCGGGGGGCAGAAACTGCCGGAAGATCTGCAAGATTTTTATTTATAGGTCTCACCCCGTCTTTTGAACAGTTCGGACACACCCTAGAGCAAGCCTTGAGTTCTCTGTGGATCTTGAAGCTTTAGAGTTGTCACTTGACATCCGACTGTACAGATAACTGGTTATTCAAGTATGAACGATCAAAAAAAGGAGAGGTATAGGTGAAGTTTCTGAAACGGATACCACTCAGAGACAACTTCTTGCATATCTATAGGTGTGGACAAATCAAGAGGAGAGGACAGCCCTATGGAAAATTTCACACAGAGGCTGTTTGTACAACCAGAATTCTGGAATAAAGAAGGAATTACACACGTGTCATTTTTATGTCTTCTAGTAACATGTTTTCTTGTCCAGTAGGAGGAAGCTGATATTTCACCTCGTGGTGCAGCGTAAGTATGGGAAAGATACACGAGAGGTTTTGGTGATGAGTTGTTTCGAGTATGTCTTTGCTAGTCAAATCGCTCCAAACTAGCCTATCTAAACCAGTTCTGAGCAGATTGATTGAAGTATCCGTTGGTTTCTGTTGTGATGCTCAGTTTGTTTAGGAGTAATCTAATTGTTTGACGTGTGAGTAGTCGTTTTAAAGTTATGGAAACGAACGTCTAGCAGGAGTGGTCTTTCTTGCTGTTGTGTATGATTCGATGAATTTGAACTCTTGACGCTTGCTAGATGTATTTGGGTAGCCACAAAGCTCGGAAATTCAAACAAGTAGGTCTATTTTCGTATTTATGTATTCCTCCTGCCGGTGATGCCGCTGTAATTACATCCTCTCAAGGATGGTACAGGTCGAACTAGTTAACTTCGTCTTTTAGGGCTTCAAACCAGCAATAAGTGTATAGTTGTATTTGACATGTAGGTTGTCTTTCATTGGATTTCATGTGGAAACGTATAGATTTCTCAATGATCATTTACGCTTGCTTTTCCTCGACTTCATCGCGTAGTTTAAGCCGTGGAAAACCCAATGTGTTCGTTTTATTTTTGCTTGGTATGAGTAAGTTAAGTCATGAACGGGATGATTGTGTGTATTAGGGAATGACGCGATGGTGATGGTGTAAGCCTGGACGGAGTGAAACTGGTGCCAGCTTCCGAGTTAATGGGAACTCATTATTATACCAAACTAACACCACACGAAGGAGAACTGCACCCAAAGTGCGCTCGTGGGAGGAATTGGAATTTCTGTACTTCTACTCATTGTCTTGTTTACTAAGGATTTTTGTTTTCATTCTCCGGTTTCGATTTTTTTCTTCTTTCGTCTGTATAATTCTCGGATCTCACAACGTGCACATCGCTTGATGCACATTGTACTTGAAAGTTATGCTGGAATTCGAAATCTAGAATGCACTTCAGAAGCTGCTTCTCTTGTCGACACGAAGAAAAAATATATATGAGGAGTTTATGTATTGATTAAGTGTCCGGAAGTTCTTGTAGCTGCTGTTTAAGATAGAGTATGTGTGCACGGGAAGAAGCTTCTGACGGACAGTGGATGCAGCCAGAGCTTTGGTGAATCACCAAGTTCTTTCCCGGAGCAATTGCTTCATCAGTTCTCTCATTAGGGACGGGACTCGGTGGGTCACCTTTTATTAACCTCCACGTGGGGTCAGTGTTTACTCTGACTTTCGGAGGTACTTGAGGCCATATTCAGGCTCCCAAAGGAGATGTTTATATCTTGTGGGCAATATACTGGAGATTTTACCTGCCTCGGCAACGAGATGAAATAGGTCTAGATTGTTCTACATCTATAAGTTGTGGGAGTTGTGGACTGAAGTGCTGATTTTGGAATTGTTCTAATCGATAATTAAGTCTCTGAATCTGCGATTTTGGTTTCACGTAGGATGGTGTAGTGTATGGTGTAGATTTATTAGAACTTAGTCTTTCAGTAGATGGCCCTGATTCCTGCCAAGGACGTTGACACACATAATGATTATCTTGTACAATTTGTGATATAACAGAAGACTTTTCCTGTCGAGAGGCTATTTCTTTGCGTTCTAAGTAGCTCAGTTAATTGCATACTGCAAGTCATTGTAGTGTTTGATAACAAGGGCCACGTCTGTAACAAAAGCCAGTATTTGTGATTAAACAAGAGTTTTCTTTTCTCTGAGCTTGTTTGCATCCAAATAATAGAAAAGAGGCCTTTGCACGTTTCGACTCGAGAGGCGCTCTAGATCTGCTGATAGTGTGTGTTATGCCAGTGTTAATGCATAAGCTGGTAGAGTAGCGTCAGTGGTTGAGAGTTGACAACAGTCACACGTCCATCTGCAATTACTCGTTGTTTAACCGTGTCCCATCTGCAAACTAATCGTTCATGGTATGAGTAGATATAGAGACGTGTCATTAATTTGGTCCTTCCAATTCTTTTCTGCCCTTCGCAGATACGTGAGGACATCTGCATAAAAGCGTCTGGGTCTAATATCCTACCTTCGTGCAACCAGTCCAGAGTATCTAACGTTTTAGGTGTTCCCGTCTGACGTTTGTCTTGCGGCGGCTGCCTGTGACGTGCACCTCCTTAGGTTGAGAACGACTATTACACGCAGGCATCGCGGTTTCAGTGTGGCACTCCAAACGATCCAGCAGCCGGCTAAACGTTAGAAGCTTTTAAACTTTCATGATTGAAATTTTAATTACGTGAATACAAGTTCTGTGAAATTGATCCAGAAAAGTTATGTGCAAGTCAGCACGAAAGCATTTTCCCCTGATGCCTCATTTCATTTGCAGGATAAGAAACTACAGAGAGCTACTTACTTGAAGCTCGAGGAAGAAGCACGACTGCATAAAGAAAGACTTGAGTCTGACAAGAACGAAGTTCACGAGTTGATGCTGCAAGTAAAAGAGCGAACGTCGAAGCTTGAAATAGACAAGGAGCGTGTACAGTTAGAGCAGCAAATACGTGATCAAGATGTAAGTAAAGCGTCTTGTCTTCTGGCCCCTACTTTGATTAGAGGAAGCAAATTTGAGACTTCACTTACTACAAACTTAAATTTGAACAAGCTTCTCTTGTCAGTTCTCGATGACATGAGAAAACCTTGCAAATCTAGAAATCGGCGAAAGACACATACACAATCTTTCTCTTAAAAGTCTTCTGACCAAACGGTGTTCTCCCACTCAGTTCACCCTCTACCCTCCTACTTAAACATTGAAGGCTGCGTATACCCTAGCGTCACTAGTAACTGGATAAATGAGTAAAAGGAAAGTTTTACAGACGAAAAGGTCACTCTAAGCCCAGAAAGCAGTCATCTAATACGCTTATGGTCCATTGATACTGTTAGCACTGTGATTAGGCAGCCAATCCTAAAGCGTTTAATGAGTACTGGGAAGTGCTTTCTTGATAGATTGAGAAGACGAATTGGGATTATGAACGAGATCAAAATCTTGACATGTGCATCCACAGCTACAACGCAGGAGGATTAGGTATGAGCAAGAGAAAAGAAGCCGGAAAGAACAATTTTACCAACGAGAGGAAGAGATTAGGAAGCGGTTAGAGGAGTATAAGCAAGCCCTGCAACGTGAAAGGCAACAGAAGGCTGAAGAGGCTGCCACGTATCGACATGGGATTAATGAGGCTATCAGGCAGCACGAGTAAGCAGAGCCATATAATCGATTTTCGTGACGAAAGGCCTCCCTGTAGTGTGACACTGAACTTGTTAAAGCGGATGTTCAGAGAGTGTTGTCTTCTGATTTTGTTTCCAGTCACGTGAATGCAGCCCGCAACGGAGATAACAGTCTTTCAACGTAGCCTAAAAAATCTGACTGTTCGTCATGATTTATTGGAAAACTTAGAGCTAAACTTGCCGAAGAGCGTCAGCTGGAAGCCATGGAGGAAATGAAGCTGGAAGCTCAGTTACGAGCGGAGATGGAGATGAAGCTTTTTGAGCTGGAGCAGAAAAGACAAGTCAACGAGAAGGAAATGCAAAGCCGGCAGCAAGAGCAGCTGAAAAAGGTTGGTTGTCTTTCGTTCTCAGAGCAGAGACGCTGAGCTCTCTGGATAGTCTCTCGTATACGACAGAAAATAATCGTGTCACTCTCGGTGTGCAGCTGAAGATGGAGAGTTTGAAAGAGAAAGAGGAGCTCCTCAAGCAGACAATTAATCAGCAAGAGCTTCTCATGAAAGAAATGGGGGACGCTGTTAAAGAGACCCAATCGCTTAAACAGAAGCTTGAAGAAATTGCAAAGGAGGAATATCACGTATGTACGCCTCCTGTTTTCTACTTAATCAATATGGGTCTATCTGTTTGGCTTCATTTTCACTTCAAGAACTCTCATACCAGATTCTAGGCACTTGTCGAAATATAGCTCACAAGTGCTGCTTAATGTCGACTGATTATTGTGAACACAGGGCTTGGAATGTGTCGTTTGTCTGGAGGAGTTTGGGCAGGAACCTGAACGCCAGCGGGCCCACTACAAAGACTGCGATCATGCAAATGTTTGCATCGGTTGTGCGAAGGACATGTGGAAATCCAATAAGCGCAAGTGTCCATATTGTAACACCCCTGCAAAGCACATGCCTGCCAAGCTGCCCCCTAAAATCTACATGTAAAACGTTCTCGTCATTTTGGATACCAGATGAGCGGCATGAGTGCCCCTGAAGCTCGGTGAAGGGAAGTCGATGCCACCCTTTCTGCCTTTTATAAATGAATCTACCAGTTGTTACTCGATTTCAAGGGCTATTCTGTATGGATTTGTTGAAGGACGGTTCTCGAACGAAAGGTTCGTGGTTGTATCGATCGATCAACACGATCGATCGGTGCCCACAAGGATTAATACGAAGGTTCGAGTCAGAAAGACTCGAACTACTTGTGGCCTTTGAGCAGAGCTTCTGCATGATATATCAAGCATCCCCTCTAAGAAGATGCATCTACTCAACATTTCCAGATTGTCAAGAAGGCCACAGCACGCATCAAGTTTGTCTAGAAGCCAGGCAAACAACATAAGCAAGGTTGCATATTGTTCTGCATTATACTGTACGGAATCCGAAAGACGCAAGATCGATTACTCGTGCTGACAGTTACTTCTCATAACAATTTGCCAGTTTACTTGGACGGTCGCGGGGACGGGAGGTTGTCAGGTTGCTGGTAACATATATGAAACGTAAATTACACCAATTTATAATCGGAGCTGCTAGTCACCATTCATTTTTCTCTATTCACCATTCATCCCCAATTTTAAAGAACCCCTGTGTACTTTTTTCGCGTTCCGATTGGGTTTTCGGTTACCGCTGTTGGGTGGGGTCCGGCGTAATTTTCTAAGAGTGTAGAGATTGCGGGATTTGCTCAAAATCAACAGTTCGGCCTGGGTGGAAAGTCCTTGACCGAAGGGCAGAAAAGTTTTCTAATTTACGGTACCTTTGCTTTCTTCTTTACACTTTTCCTTGCAGGCTATCTGCTCCAATAGTAGTCGAAATTGTACATTCATTTGCACTGTGTGATTAAAGAACTCCTATCCAAGTGATTCTCACCTGGTCTTTAGCGTTTCCTATCCCAATGTGCTTATCTTCTCTGTGGATGTTGATGGTGTTGTTCATTTTGGCGGATATATTTGGAATCGTATTTGGATATATCAGAATCATGTTCGAATCCGATTGGGTTTAGGGTCTCCGGTTACTGCACTTGGCTGGGGTCTTGCGGCCAGTCCTGACTGCAGACCGCGACGGAGACAAGGGCCCGTGTCACTGACCCGGAGATCGGAGTTCGAATCGTAGAGGAGGTAGAGTGCCGGCCCCTGGCTCGAAAGCGACCATTTGTAGGTCTCACAGTGAGAGTTCGAGCAGCATTGTTTTGCTTGGTTTTGAAAACCAAGCAAGGCCAACGGAAGCAGCTATCGCCTGTGCGAGCGCTGCTTTGGGTCTCTGTCATGCTTCCTGTTCTTCAAAACTGAGGGTGGATGATTAATAGCGAAAAGTGAGTGGTGACTAGCGACTTCGATTTATAATAGAGTTTTGTATCTCTTGAGAATCTCTCTGACCTCAGTAATCTTGTACAGAAGCTCAGAAATGGGTTCTAAGAGTTGGAAGAAGTGAACAAAGGTTTCGTGGTTGTAATGACCGATCGAAGCAATCGATCTGTGCCCACAAGGAATCACGCGAAGGCTCTGAACTCAGAAAGCTTTCAGACAGACCAGAACCCTTGTACTAGGTTCAGGCGGAGGCAGTCAAATATCCTTGGATGGTCAGGTTCTTACCACAGCTTCTCACGTATCGACAAAATGCTCCAAGGTTCCGACATCGAGAACTTATTATCACCATTCACCTCGGTACTTTCTGATCATTCTTTCATATGACGCAGTTAAGGAATGGCACTCTCAAATGAAAAAATCAGAGTAAGACTTGATGAAAGCTTAAGGATATGTCATTAGCAAGACGATCCTTAGCACGCGAAATGAGATTCCGATGGAATAGCTACAACCATGAACTTAGAACTTCAACCTTCGATATGTGGTTTGTTGACTTAAGAGCAGAATGATTCGAGTTTACTAGCCATGGTAAGAGAAAAAGGCCAAATTTGGCAGTTTATGATTCCTGCCTCCAGGTGTGTTGAAGATAAGCAAGAAGTAGAGGATCTTACTGCGTTCTGCAGTTCCCGAATCAGTGAGTCAGGATGGATTATCTGCTGAGTAAGTGAATATCCCGCCACGAATCCCGTCACCTCCATCAAATAAGTATCATACTCATTGACATTGAACTTGTTTTGTTGTCTGGAAGAAATCAGGAAAGAGTGCCTTTCTGTCTTGAGAGGTGTGGGGAAGCTAGAGACCGGGTATCAAAGAAGGGCAATGAGACAGACAGACGATTATAGACCATCTAATCGTCTGTTATAAGTTTCGATCGAGCTCTCTCGATTAACTCTCCACAAATGTCTACGAGCGTGTAACACTCCTATACTGAACTTCCTTGCGCGTACAACTAGGGATATCTTTTGACTTCTCCAGTAAACTTCTTACAATATATATATGCAAATAATTCTATCATTCTTTAACCCCCGAAATTAGTGTCAAGTAAGATTCAATTCTCTATATTTTCGATTAATTCTATTATATCAAACATCTATCATAACCATGACAGCCATAATTGATTATTATATATATATATATATATATGTTATTTAATGATTATTCAATGATGCTATATACCTCAAATTTACAAGTTGTTCACTAGTATCAATTGTTAATTGTTACTTCACATACACAACAAAACAATTAAACTAGAAAGGAACACATGTAGATTATCGAAATGAAGAAGTACGGAGTTCATCATTGTGAACTAACTCTATTTAACAACTTGATATTTACTCAAAGAAACTCTAATAATATGACTTGAGAGCTTAGGTGAGCTCTTCATGTAATGACATACTAATCAACTCAACTAATTGGGTTAACCTAATCAGAATAAAATGTAAATCTAAAATACTTCATAACAATGTTACTCTTTACTCATGTTTTGATGACCGTAAACTCTATAAATCACATAATGATTTTGTCAAAATTTCAAAAATGAAACCTAACATAGGTATCTTTAGAGAGTTTTGTAAACCAGAACTAACTAAAATTAAGTTGTAGCCAAAATATGATAGATTAATAAAAATATGTAAAGAATTATTAAAATTTGGTTAGTAAATTTTACTTGTGTTCATCATGTAGAAATTGTAATATAGCACAATATTTTTTGAAAACTATTTGAATTAACTATTATGGTCAATGAGTCAATTAGATTGAATATACCATCAATCTTGATTAGCTTAAACTTCTTATCAACAAATGTAAATCTAATAAAGTGACATCTGATATCTATATGCTTTTCTCTTTCCTAATCATCATTTGATTGGCTCAAGATGTAATGCATTTTCACCATGACAGCAAAAATTGAAAACATGCTCTTTCATTCCCATCACATAATATCTATTCTGCCAAATAGTATTTTTTTATATTTTTGTTGCCGCTACATCTTTGTGGATTCCCAACTAATGCACCCACAAACAAATGTAAAACATAATAATAATGAAATTTCCAGATATTGTACACAATCATCATCAACAATCTCTTACAAAGATTTAGCATTGTTCAACAAAATATCAAACAAAATACCATAATACTTTGTACTTGTTGAGTATATGAAAATCCACTTCACAACTTTCAAATGCATCCGTTATCATAAAAAACCATAATGTTTAATACTCTTGATGTATCTGAAAATTCACTTTATAGCTTTCTAATGCATCAACTATAAGCTTTTGTGAAAAAAAATCAACTAATTCATCTATCGTCAAGTCTATAATTGAAGATTTTACTTTGTTCTAATCTTGTATATAATCACCATCAACGTAGTCAAAATAAGGATTAAATATTCTTTTATAAACCATCAAACAAAATACCATAATAACAATTACTCTTGACATATCTTAAAACTTAACACTTAACAATTTTTCAATGCATCAAACATATATATTTGACATGTAATTCAACATCATGTCAACAACTAGAGCAATATTATCAAATATTGCTCTAGCTATTGAAATATTGAAATAAATCTGAAGTATATTATCAAATACATGAGGTTATCTATTAACTTGTCATCTTGTCAAAGAGAATGACATACTTCTCTTTATAATGGTATTCATTTGACATTGAGCTACTTAGTTGAAATTTGCCATGTTATATATACCCAACACACGTTTTATATACTTGACTTGATTTGATCTAATTTTTTTTAGATTTATATGAATTTCTTATGTTAATTATGTTAAATTCAAATTTCAGTTGATTCTTGGATTTATCAACATCAAATCTATACTTTGCCAAATTAATCATGTCATCCAATTATGATAAAAAAATGAAATTAAAACTTCAGTTCATTAATTTTCTCATCTTTTGTATGTATACATATCTATCAAACACATTTTGTAAATGTATTTGTGATTTCATGAACTAATTAAACCTTGCATTTTATTGCTTAGAAGATTTTTTATCCATATATTGTATTCAACAATCTGAAGATTAAAAACTTTTTACCCTTCTTTTTAAATTTAATTGATAATCCCATGTGAATTTTCTCTTCTAAATATTCATAAAAAATGTTGTGCTTACATAAATTTGATTCATAATAAACATACATATTGCAGTAAGTGTACATTTTATCGAATTGTAGTATATATTGTTATAGGTGAAAATACTTTGCTTTACAACTCACATCGTTTTCTTGTGTGAAGGATATACGTCAATCTTGTTTTGAAAATTCTTTTCTTGTCTAAATTGAATGTTACTCTTATCAATCAAAGGATGATAGCTTAGAAATGTCATTAGCTTTTTTGTCATAATATCAATCAACAATTGAGTTTCACATTCCATAGCAATATTACATCTAAATTTAATAACAAAGAGCTAAATTTCTTTGTAAGAACAAATTTTTTACCAACATCATGCATTAACATCATCATACTTAATCTCAATATCATGATACACAAAAATGAACGAATCAGTCTATAACACATATCTTGTTTGTCATACTCTTAATCAATTTTGATAATGTTATATTACAACTTTTTGCTTTATCTTTATTGTTTGATTTTTATTATCATCATTAACTTGCTCTTGCTTTCTAGTATTATGCTCAATCTATCTCAAAGGTTTCTCTTGTAACATAAATAAATCCATAATAGCAATCATGGCATCAACTATATCTATGAATGAAAATTTGTTCTTGTCAATAAGTAGAAACTCATAAAACTTTTTATCTGATTTTATCCAAAGACACTTTTTTAAAGGAAATAATCATAGATGCTAAAAAATTCATAGCTTTTTATCTTTCACATCACTCACATATGTAAAAAAAAGTAAAACCTTTTAGATGTACGATTCAATTTTTTACTAAACTTTTTGAAATAACAGACTAAATTTTACAATCAAAAATTTTTTAACAACAATTTTGAATTAAAGTTTTTTTCTTACACATATTTAATATTATTTGGTGTAAATTCCTTCAAAAAAAATTTGTTACAAAGTTTAAATTTGTGTTGAAAAAAAATGATTTCAAATTATCTTTTATTTTTATTTTATACTATTTAAATGTATACTTTTAATCATTATATATAATCATATATCTTACTTTGTGTCAAATTTGTATCTTAACTTGGACGTTTCAATTTTCAAAAATTATAAAAACTTTAAAAACTTATGTGGAAAATAATATCAATTCAAATTTTAAATAATCATTTTAAAATAATATATAATATAATTTTGAAGACAATAATGACTTCAAAAAAGATCTTCAAAATTCATTTTGTGTAAATCCAAATAACTCTTTGAAATTGTAAGATCCAAAATTAAAAGCTTTTTATGATGCTTGCTCACTGCACAATTTTCACAAAATTATGAATAAATTAAATGCCTGTTAGTTTTATATATTATATTCTCAAAAAAATGTAAAGTAACTATTTTTTATGAAACATAGTTTATAGTGTCATATATGAGATACTTTAAGTCAAATTATAATAAAAATGACCTCATGACTCACAGTATTGTATTCTAACATGTATAAAGTTTTATACTTGTTTAATTTCAACATGATTTTATCATCTATTTTAATCTTGAGCATATTTAGGGTGAGCTTCACTCACAAACTTTTGATTCTATATATCCAAAAAAAATATATTTATCTCATATCATTAATGAATTTTACTTGAATCAAAATTTTAAATTTTAACACATGCAATAATTTCAATTCTACAAAGTTCATCAATTCTCACACAAATTAAATTTTTGGTACTTTAAAAGTATCTAGAAAATTATAATGTAACAAAATTGATAAGAATAAAACACTGTCAAAATTTTACTACATATTCAAAAATATTTGATGAATTGCATAAAACATATATTTGAATTCATTATCTATCATCGTGCAAATTATGTTCAAAATCAAACTCTTGAGACACATTGGCTTAAAATATGATATTATATTGGCTTGTGTGTTTTATTTTGTGGATGTATTACTCTTTTTGTCTCTTCATTATATTTTCACTATAGCATAGATGCAAACACAATGAAGTCAAAAATTCAAAAATTATTATAGTTTCTAACCAAAAACAAGAGTATGTTTATGACATTCACAAAAGATATCACGCTACTAGTAATAATTTAATTCAAAAATAATCCAAATAAACTAGGTTTAGTGTTTTTTCATGGATTAGGAATTTTTGCTATAAACTTTATAGAAAGTAGAGAAGTTATTTGCTTCAACAATTGTTTGAGATATTATCAATAAAATTTCATGTTTTGTGAACCTAGCCAAAGACAAAGCATGTATTTGTCGGCATCAAATCTTTGTGATTTTTTTTTCTTTCAATATTTTTTTGTTTTTCTTGTTACACACTTTGCTGTCCTAGATACTTTTAACTAAGTCTTAGATTTAGTTTTGAAAATTTTGATCTCAATCTTGAACCAAAAAAAAACTTTGTTGTATGCAATCATAACAACTATCAATTTATGTTCAGATTTTAATCACAACTTGACTCATGTAAGATGACCGAATGCATAATTGCAAACACAATGTTAAACTGATTCATTATAGGCTATGATATTTATCCAAGGTTGTGATCTGTTGCAATTTTTATTTTGCATTTGCCAAATTTTAGGCCCATAGCCTTGTGCTTACGATGAGAATTCTGAAGTTGTAGGGTCATTTTGCTTGTTAAAGTCATTTGAAATCAGTATTTCAAACTATATTAACCAACGTTAGGATTGTCCTCACAATGCATTACATGAAATCAGTTATTAGTTTAGGTACACAAACATTCATTCACTTCAAAAATAACATACAAGTAGATAATCAAGACGGAGAAATACGTGGTTCATCATTACAAACTACATTCACTGGAAAACCTTGTATTTTACCCATAAATGTGTCATTGTGACATGCTTTTATGAACTTTTGTTTATGATGACAAATCAACAAACTTAACTAATATCCTCAAATAAAGAAAAAATTTGTCTATTATCACATTAAGTTTGCCAACTCAAATATAAATCTATAGATATAAAGTTTATGAATAATGTTTGGTTTCAAAATATATATGTTTGGTTATATTTAATTAATTATATAAAAAATATGTATAAAAAATAAATTTTAATATCAAATTACATAATAGTAAAATTATTTTGCATAGTATATCACGCATTTAGAATTCCATCAGATTTTAAAGATATTTTTTTATTTGATATGTATTTACTGTATAATATATTTTATGTAATCAAAATTAAATTTTCAATTTTTTAAATTGTTAAATATAAAAATTATGTAAAATGGGAAATATATTTATTTATAAGTTCATATTTTTAAAAAAAATTATGAAATTTTCTAACATTTTGAAAAATTTATTTAAAATTAAACATAAATAAAATTTTGAATTTTGTGATATTAAATAATATTTTTATTGTTTTCATAAATAACTTCAAATTATAGATTAAATTCTTTGAAAGAAAGTATAGGAGATTAAAAGCGTAATCACAAATCAATAACATTGGGCAGCGCATTCATAAACAAAATTTGTTGAGGTAAGTTTCACTACGTGTAGAGTACTACTCGGACTGTATAAAGAAATAGAGCAAATGTATCGAGAGAATATGCTAGACCTATTTTTTTAATTTGTGTCACAACATTTTGATCATTTCAATGAATGTGGAGTACCAAACAGTAAAGACTTTGACTATCATGTCTCTCGATTTTACATCTTAATAAATGTTAATATCAAATTACAGAATTTAAAAATTATTTTGCATAGTATATCCCACGTTAGAATTTCATCACATTTTAAAGACGTTTTTAAAATTTATTTAATCAAAATTTATGTCCCGCATATAAAAGATTGTCAAAAACTTGGCTATGAAAATCTGATATGATATTTTTTGCTTTAATGAAACTTCTATCATGGCTTTGGATCTAGCCTCATGTGGAATTGATCCACATACATCGGTGTGTGATTCTAGTTGCGGTGGAACTTCAAATAAAAAAATTTATATTTTATATAATATTACAATTTTAATAAAAATTTCAGTTTTTTATTATGCTATTAATAAATTTAATTTCTCAATTCTAATTTTTTTAAATAATTACTTATTTTTTATCAAAATTTCAATCTAATTATAATATATATTAACATCTGTGATTCTTTTGAATACATCAATAAAAATATTACTCATATCAAAATTAAAATATAAAGTTTTTTAATCAAGATCTGCCTGTTTTTTTTCAAAAATAAATTTTAAATAAGTCATTGTTAATGTTGATTTTTGTGAATAAAAAATAAAACGGAATTTGAAATTTCTATGTGTGTATGAAGAAAAATAACTCATCAGAAGATATATATATATATATATATATATACATTTATACATTGAAGAAATCAATAGTTATTCTTGACACAATCAGCGTTTAATATATATTTGTCTCTGTGAAAAATTATCATTTGAAATAGAAAAATTAGATCCAATAATATTTTCTCTATAATAATAAGAGTAGATTCATTATTCTAATAAACATCAAATAAAGCTTTAAAATAATTTGCTAAGATTTAACTTCATAGTTATTTCATTACAGAAACTATTATATTCAATCTGATATTATGTTTTAATAAAAAAACTGGACCAAACAAACTAAAATTTTACATCTTTTATACACTCTAAAAATATATATATATATATATATATATATATATTTAGAGTATGAACACACAATGAAATATTATAGTAAATGAACGCAATTATGACTTTTAACTCTTTGAGTCTAGGTTTACGAGAATATGTAAGAATCTGATACTAATTATCATCTAGCTATAAAGTCAAACGAAATCAACTCAGCCAATTTCTGAGAGTAAACTTAACAATCTTCAATTTGACTCCCGTCTTGGGAAAGATTCTTTAGTCCTCGATCTCTAAGATTCATTTATGAAAAAAAAAAATTTAATCTAGAATAGTCTCTCTAGCAAAGTATCATAACAATAAAGAAGAGAGATGATTGTTGGATGAGGTTGTAAGAACGTCAATATGTCGGGAATGGCAACCGTCCTTTCAAATATATGCTTTGCCTTGCTCCTTATTCTCGTCCTTAGCCAACTACTCGTCCGAAACTGTTCTCGTAACGCGATCCGAGCCTTTCCACGAACTCCTTTAGATCTTAGCACAATGATACAATACGATAGTGGCCCAAAACTTAATGTCACCATCCTTGTACAGATCCAAGTATTCTTGATACGATTTCAATCTCTGTTCGGCTTCAGGTCCTATTGCTCATAGACAAAGGAGTTTTCAGTGGCTACACAGAGAAGCCACCGTACGTAAGTCTTAATTGCTTCGTTATCATTCGACCGTCCGAAACAAGATATGTACAGAACTACGTCAAATACAAATACATCGAAATATATCGTTCATCGTTTTGAGTCAACTTTCACAAGATCAAACAAGTAGTTTCATTGACTATAATTAATGTGTCTCAGAGAGGATCCACAAACTCTAAAAATGACAGCTAAATATAATCATCATTTTTTGCAGCGTATCATCGAGATCTCCTGCAACCGAGGAAACCAACGTATAAGAGTTAGACTAAATTAATATGATATCCTATCATAGAGTTTACCATTTTGTTCATTTAATTTATCTTGGATTCTTTTTTACTTTCATAAATTTTATATATTCATATATTTTTATTACTTTTTTAAAATGCGCAGGGCCATCACCACGTCGTGATACAAAGTGGCAGTGGCCTAGTTCACATGTTAAACTACAAGCATGGAGTTGAAATCGACAAATCACATCTTAAGGTGATTCGTGGACTTCAACTTCAGTTTCGGGCCGACTCACGTCTAAAGTCACCTGAATTTCGATATAAAAATAAAACCTGGCAGAATGTCTCTGTAAATAGAATCTGAAGATTCACTATACCTGATGATCATGATACAAATAAGTGACTGGTCGTGAAACAGAGATGATACCCATACCCATAATGATGACGTCTGGAAAATCGTACACAATATGCACCTACTCATCTGGCTATGTCCTTCATAGTTTCCTCTCGACTTCCTTCGATGTGCAGGAGCAAAGCTTTTAGAATGTTATTTTTACTGACATAGGTGTTACATGATCATTCTTCGAGTAAATGAGCTGCGAACACGAACATCATGAATGCACATGGCCCATACTGCTATTATTAGAGGACTGAACCCTCGTTACAATATGTTCCATGTACTCCCTACGTGGAGTCAATTTGTAAATTAATGCGCCGAGATGAGCGAAGAAACCTCCTGAAAGGTGAGGGATTCTGGTGGGGCTCCCACAGGCGCCTTCGGATGTCGTATGGAGTTAATCCAAACTTCCATCGAAGAAAGACGACAGAGGACAAACGTGTCAGCAGGCGACGCGAAGGAGCCAGCTCAGAGCGGAATCACTTTATCGAGCCAAAAAGAATCGCTTGACGCATCCGTTCGACATGTAGAGGTCGAAGGGATGCGACCAAATCTATGCCAATTACCGCATCCATCATGACGGCAGATCGGATGCGGAGGCATCCGCTCGTCGTCGTCCTCCTCCTCCTCCTCATCGTCATCTTCCGAAGAATCGACTCACCAGCAGCCCTGATTTCTCGAAGACGGTCCCTTCCCAGGCGGACTTTCCCGCCCTTCCATCGCTCCCCCTCCCCCTCGCCGATCGTGGCCCCGAAGCCATTCAAATCTCGTCCGAGACTTGCACACCACGACAACGAAACGACGGGCCCATTCTATCCTCGGACCGACGGCGACGGCGACGGCGACCGTCCGTCGGGGAGGAGCTGAGGGAGGCGTTGGTGGGATGACTGACTGACAGACTGACGAATCGACTTGGCGCAAGCCCAGGCCGCCCTGGCCCGGAATGAATTCTTGGACTATGGTCGCGGCCCACTAAAATAATACGCATGGACGAATTCGGAGCGCTCTTGGGATGACCGTGCCAACATCCAAAGATGCCCTCGTCCTCATCTGGTGGATCTCTGGCAGTGGCTGCTAGCTGGCGAATATGACGCGCGCATAAACTATGAATATCCATGGACGTTTCTCTGGCTCCATGACTACGTAGCTGACTACGGCACATGAACCGCGACTGCCGTGTGAAGGTTTCTTTGGGCGAGGAGACAAGGCTTTACAATATTTCGGTGTCTAGGTTTCCTTCACTGCGGTCCCGGCGGACGGTGGGCACTTTTGTTTCTATCTTGAAAACCTGCGGTAAAATCGTATTTAGACGTTCTTTCCTTTGTACAAAATTGATCAAACAGCAACAAACATTTCTCGTCGATCTTATCTTAAAATAATTGTTTCTAGGATTTCGGTAACAGAAGAAATTTATGAACTTCGATTCGACCGATTCTTATCAGGTAAAACAAGGTTTCTACATCGAGTTCAAAGCTCGAACATCCTGCCAAACACTTTTTACGCAACCTTCATTATTACTACTTTCAGACCCATTTCTGTTTTTAGAGTTTTGCACTTTCATCTATGAATAGAGAAATCTTACTCTCCAAGCACTCCAATTTTAATGAAAATGTAGCAGTCGATGTTTGAAAGAAAAAATCATCAGATTTTGAACCATGTCTTCCGGAATACAACTGGGTGCCTACTGAATTGATAGAAAGTTGTGGCGGCCCAACGATGAATAATCACCCAGAAATAACAAATTGCGCTTACTTCGTCGAATCATTTCAGAATATAGCAAAATCTCCTTTTGAACCATGTCTTCCGGAATACAACTGAGTGCCTACTGAATTAATATAAAGTTGTGGCGGCCCAACGATGAAGAATCACCCAGAAATAACAAATTGTGCTTACTTCGTCGAATCTTTTCAGAATATAGCAAAATCTCTTTTTTCTGCGCACTGTTGTGATCTTTTAAGAACCCTAGTACGGTCCGCATGCAATACATGCCTTATTATGCAATATTACGATCGAGATTATTGCTATACGCCTAAAAAGTGACCGGACAGTAATGAACAGCGGCTGAGATAGAAGCAGTATGTACGTAACGCATTGCACATCCGGTCCCCAGATTCCGGAATCGCAGAACATCAGACTCCGAAAGAAATCAACTTTTCCCTCGCACAATGGACTATTCGACTCTCACGTCAAGTGTACCGAGATTCAGAATCTCGAATGTAGTTTGAACGTCGCGGCAACTTTCGCGACAAGTTGCAATTTTCTGGTCAGATTCTCTTGCAGGATTCGATGGCAAGCAACTTCAGCGCTGCATGCTAGGCAAGTTGAAGTCTGTGGACCATACCCTGTCCATCTGGCGAAAAAGCTGTTTACCGTATTTCCCCTCACGAACCAGGACAAAAGTTTACTTCCTGTACTGTACTTAAACAGTTTGCCGAAGTTTGTGCATTCTCAGCGCCAAAATTATTCTTTCATATCAACTTCACCTTAAAAGTGCAATCCAGTGCCACCAGGTAATATGCGTGACACTTGTCACGTAGTATATGGATTCACATCACTCTCATATCCTGAGGACTCGTTCCACAAGCAATAGATACAGGTCACAGCTTCTAATGTCGACAGCAGCTTAACCAGTCAAGGTGTCAATTGGAAGGCGGGGGAGTTCATGATAATCTGAAGCTAACTGAATGTAACTACCACCCGCCCGAAGAAAATCTGCACGCTAGCGTCTGGCGTGGCTCATTGATCATAATTTCCTCTAGATACTACGTATGTCTGTAAGTTTAGGTACTGTTAAATCGTTATAGTGTCTTACTTAAATAAATCAAATTCGTATTTAAACCAATATTAATTATGACTAGTTCTTTCGCAATGTATGACATACACAATTCTCAGCTCGGCATCTCGGCTTCCGTGTCTGACTTACTATCCTGCGCGAGAAATTCAGCAGGAAGCGTAGATCGACGAAAATTTCTTCTTGAAATATACGTAATAAATCGACGGCCGTGCGCCGGGAAATACAGACAAGTGGAATGACGCATGCACAACGCAGGCGGGCCCGCGGTCCCAGTCTGGACTCGGCTTTTCGGGCGGGGCGGGGCGTGCCGTGCCTATCGACTTCCGGATGTGAACAGAGGCGGATATGTCCGGGAACGTCAAACGGCGTGACGTGTACATCCCGTGACGTCATGAATGCGTTACATCCAAGAGGCTCCGCTAGCTCGGCAGCTTCCTAAGTAGAGTAGGCCGCGGGCGAGCGGGCTGGCGAGCGGATCGGCGGTCCACGAGAGAACGGACGGTTTTCGGTCGAGGCGCGCCTCGGAAATGCAGACTCGGAACCACATTCTCACACAAATGAACACAAATGAACGGAGGCACAGGCACAAGGCAGAGTGAGCAGAGCATCATCCAGGCAAGCATTTGTGTCGAAGGTGTGGGCGAGCCGTGCTCGGACGAACATGAAGGATAGAAGAAGAACTGTCGTGATGAAACAAAATTTTGAACTCTTACAAAGTCGAACATGCACTCACGCTACACTCAGGGTGGAAAGCTCAAGGGCCCACTGACATGTGACGCTTTGCGAACAACAACTTGGATTCAGCTGCAAAATAGAGTCACATGCCAATCGGACGGCTGCTTGAGGACCTTCTAATCCTTGCACAAATCATGGGCAAAGACTGACAAAATTGGCATGTAAGTTTGCACAAAAGCCGGAAGCTGACATTAAACAGTCGGCGATTACATCAAATCTGGAAACTACTATATAAGATTTGGGAAGATTTCAAAAGAACTAGGACCTCATCCTCACTCACGGTGAAAAAAGGGTCAAACCTTTATAGCCCCACATAGCCTCACTCCCATAGGACTGCTGAATCCATCATAACCGTGTTGTCAAATTTACAGCATATGAAGGCGTACTGCGTTTCATTGGAGCCTTTCTCTACTACCTGTCACTCGAAGGAAGTGTGGGCGAGACCATGTGCAAGAAAGTCCAGTCCCATGGCCAAAGGATGGCAAGCCAGAGTAGCACAAGCTGCCAAAAGTGATGCCGCAGAGATATGAACCACCACCACTATGTTTGTCGGTCCTGACCAATCCTCAGGTGTTCATTATTGCACTGAAACACCCGACTGTTTTACTGCACATGGTGAAAGAAAGTCATGACTGTATTACAAGCTGTTCATTGCCATTGAATCAGGAAACAAATATACAAGTTTCAGCAGAGAATTCCTCTTGTAACAAACATGAAGAATCTCGAGTCCAGACCTACAAAAGCAATATCAACTGAAGTAACCATGATGCAAGTCAGACCGCTGTCCAACTGAATTGTCTAATGCACCCTCGTTGAGCCTACTCAATTCAACTCCAATCAGCAGTAGGACATCGTCTCGACCTATCCCAAACGAACGGGCCTCGGCGACTCGGGAGTCAACCTAGACTACTCGATATTTGCTCAAGAGCTCGGGCGGCATTCAAAGGCCAGCCTCAGTAATCTGCATAGAAACCTACGAAAGGCTTACTAGCAGCAACACAGAATGACAGACATGCTCCAGTGAGCAACAGAAATCCTCTACATTGATGCCAAAAACTGACTGTTTCCTGATTTGACTCAGGAAATGCTCTCTACCTCTCCCTCTTCGGCCCTCACCGCATCATCTCCCTTTGGCTGGTCTTCACCTGCAATTGACAGTAGCGGGAAAGTTAGTTCGCTGAAAGTTCACTGATCTTTACGACCACTGCGATGCACTCAGTAGGTATCCAGCTACGAGGCAATCTACAAGAAGATCGGGATTTCTCAGAATGCAGCACTGAATCAAAAAATGTAAGGCTTTAGATAAAGGAGCAACGCTTACCGCCATCCTCCTGGAGATCTGAAGTCCAGAGTGTGAGGTTATCCCTGAGAAGTTGCATAATCAACGTGCTGTCCTTGTATGACTCTTCGCTTAGGGTATCAAGCTCCGCAATAGCTTCATCAAACGCTTGTTTCGCCAAATGACATGCCCTACAAGAATCATATGACAACTCCACGAATCAGAACTTCAGTTCGTCTTGAGAGTAAGGATGCTACACACATGCGTAAAAGCAGACCAATATCAAATACTGATGAAACAGAACGATCGATTTGTAATGCTTACCGCTCGGGTGAGTTCAGGATTTCGTAGTAGAAGACTGAGAAGTTAAGGGCGAGACCGAGCCTGATGGGATGAGTGGGTGCCAAATCTGTGACAGCTGTGTTTGATGCGGCCTACAAAAGGGCAGAGCCCAATTACTTAGTTCAAACCTCCGGAATGAGAAACGAGTTGAAAGATACTGGAGGTAATCAGTATCCGACGGCAGCGGAAGAGAGCACAAGTACGCAATTCGGAAAACCAGATCGGTGATCACGACAGTCTATGGGAACAAAGTAGGTGACAAAGCTGGAACTCCAATCGATGGTTATAAATACCTGATAAGCTTTCAACGATTGATCAGCAGCTTCCTTCCTCTCAGTTCCAGTCTTGAACTCAGCGAGATATCGGTAGTAATCTCCCTTCCTGCGACAGAGGCAAGTGAGAGTCACAAAGCCGGAACAACCTCCCAGAAGCTATGAGATTCGAAGAGACCTAGCCGCCCTCATGTGTGCAAGGTTGAAGAAAACCGGAGGCCGCATTGCTGGATAAGTCAAAAGACAGACTAACTAAGTGGTGCAAGACTACTGAGTAAAAGGCTTACATTTTGTAGTAAAATACTGTCGACTCTCCAGTGCTCGACGAGGGAACAAGGTGTTCATCGATGATTGTAAGGATATCATTGCAGATCTTGGAAAGCTCCTCCTCAACCTTGTGCCTGTAGTCCTTGATGCGCTTCACGTTTTGATCGTTGTTTTTGCTCTCCTCCTTTTGCTCAATGGAAGACATGATCCTCCATGAGGCTCTCCGGGCGCCGATCACGTTCTTGTACCCGACAGATAGCAGATTTCTCTCCTCGACGGTGAGCTCGACGTCGAGCTTTGCAACCTTCTTCATCGACTCGACCATCTCTGGAGTGATCATGAACAGGGAAAGGAGATTAAGTGCGTAATCACAAATTAAATCGTGCAGCGCATCCCACAGACAAGGTTTATTGAGCTACGTAGCCGGAGAAGGCCCCTACGCCTAGGCTTCCTCCGGCTGGATAAAGGAATAGGGCAAACTTGCCCTATTTCTTTAATTTGTATCACGACATTCCGATCAATGCCGGAGGCTTTGATCGGAATGTCGTGACACAAATTAAGCACATAAGAGAGCCTGAAGCTATGTAAAACCGAGGGCCATTACTCGAGAGACAAAACAATCCAGGGAAGTGCGGATAAGGGGAACAACTAAGCCGCGGTAGACAGATGCACATCAGTGCAACGAAAACAATCGCTCTGGCACTCGTGAAACGACCTAGTCAATATAGATACTGAGTTTGAGACAGATCTGTCTGGCAATCAAGGGATTGCGCCTCACGACAGAGGCCGGTACGAACTACATGTACTTGGCAGCGGCAAGAGTACGAACACTCATAGGACTCATCGCCACCGCTGAGCGGCCTCTTGCCTCGCCCGATCCCACCACTCAGGCCCACCACTACATCGCTGGCTTTGCACGCCTTCCACTACCCAAGCAAAAGCCCAACTCTTTCCGAGTGCCACCGACGTCCACCCTGAACGTAAGATACGAAACAATCCGCAGAGAAATAAAACTTCAATCGGAAAAGTAAGCCTGTAATACCATCGTAGCGTTCCGCTTGCTCGGCGAGCTTGGCCATGTAGACATAGCTCTCCCTCTCTTTCTCGGTACTCATCCTGGCCAACCAACTTCCGGACGTTCAAAGAGAGAGAGTGCGAGGAAAACCACACCACACCAGATGAATCAACCGATCACAACAACTGGGCTGCCGCTTCTGCGTCTGCTGCTGTCCCTAATGACCTCTCTCCTCCCTCTCGTGTGGGGCTCTTGTGCTGTTCGTGCTACACTTAAGAGACTTTAAACTTGCCCTCGACCGCCTCTACCACTGCGCTCTTCGCTCTCTCTCAAGACTCGCCGACCCAATCTTACTAATACCACTCCGCTCCCGAAGAATTCACCGCAAGAAACTCCGCAATAGATCGACCTGAACTGAAGGCTGGCCTCAAGCAAGCGCGCACGCAGGCACAGGCGAGCGGTGAGCAGCCTGGAAGAGGAGGAGGAGGAGGGCGGACGGGCGGGCGGGCAGGCCGATTCGCCGACGGACAGGAGAGCGATCGGAGACAGCGGAAGGCAGGAGCACAGCCGGCCACTACGACGACGTTGGAGTTCGACTTCTTCTTCTTCCCCGACGGAGGACCACGAGAGGAGAGGAGGAGAGAGCGGGAGGCAGGCAGATGTTGTGCAGAAGAAGGAGGGCACAAAAAGCAGTGCCAGACGAAGCTATCTGGCTATGGCGTCCACGCCACGCGCTTAACGGCACTCACTGTGTATTTTTGTCCACAGTGGGTGAATGCCAGCTGCGGGAGGATCTTTCCACGCGGCGTACGCAGATTAAACCCTAAGAGCCCCGCGCCTCACTCCTTCCCGCCCTCGCCCGGCTTCGCACTTGCTGTTAGCCCACCTGCAAGCGCGCATCCGACGGCCCCCTTCCCCTCGCCCCGCTCGCCATCCCATCTCGCGCGTCCGCTCTCCGTCGCTCCCTTCGCACTCAGCGTTAGTTCGATCTGTAACAGGGACAGTTGGCTGATGAGGATCCTGGAATCTTGTCGGCCGGTACCAGCAGGCAGGTTTGTCGGATAACACCGACCCTGCGCTAGGGTTTGGGGCCCGCCACGGGTTGGGGAGGGGTTTCGGGTCGAGCCAGATTTGAAGGTTTTCTCGTGGGGTGTTGTCACACCGTGGCACGTTGCGAGCACCAAAGCTGCTGCTGCACAGGCTGTGCTGGATTCTAGTGCAGCTGCTGATTGCGCTTTAGAGTCGCTAGAATGAGGCCCATCTCCTTCTCATCCCTCCGCATCGTAAAATAATCCCTCATTCCCATAACCATATTAACTCGCCTCAGGCCCCGGACCTGGACCCGGACATGGACAGCTGCCGGTCATGTTCTGATCTGCTTCCTCGCCAATTGACTCTAACTCGGTTCTGGGACCGAGCGCAGTTGTGGCAGGGATTTCATGGCTCGAGGATCGTCATTTGGCGAGAGTCCGGAATTTCCAAATCTTAGAACGACAATTTCATGGAGGAGCTCCGGATATTATTTCGACCAAGCGATCTTGACATACTTCCCTGTCGATGGCTTGTTCTGTCGATGTCTTAGTGCTTGCCTTACTACTCATGGAACTTGCGTCGCATGAAGCTGCCTCGCTGAAGCATGCCAAAGTGGAATTGTTGATTCGGGTCCGGCTGTCATTTCGAGTAATTTCGCACCATTTCGCGCCATTTTTTGTATCTGCTGGTGCTTTCCATGTTCCCGGTCGACCACGCCGTTGCCATTCCCTTTCATGTCACGATCAACTGGGCACGAAACGGCACAGTTGAAGCTTCTGACTGTGGTAGTTATGTTCTTGAGAACATTCTTCTTCTCGGAGATTTCCCTCCGTATAGTGACTCGAAGGTGGTAGGTGGAGCTTGTAGCCAGTGCGCGGGCGATGAGGGATGTGGAACAAAGTTCGAAACTGAAGTGGGAAGGATCAACGGGAGTGATCGAAGTGTGCTCACGTAGCTTGGGGGGGAATGCGCGGTTCGGCCGATGTGTAGTGGGGGACGTACCTTTATCTGAATGTTTTCCAGGAATATAAAATCCGACTCCTTTCTCCACTTGATGAGCTTCTTTTGCCAAACGCCCTCCAGTAAAATATGAATAACTTCCACTCTTGGCTTCCTCTGCCCTCACGTTCTCCCTCATCCATTCCACATTACGACATGAAAATAAGAACTCTTCGGCTCATTTGCTTTTGCGCCTTTTGTTTATGTGCTGTTCAAGAGTTCTGCTCCTTGTTATGGCATTTTAGAATTATAAGCACATATTCAATTGACATATCAGATTCCTTCTTGGGCAGTTGGCTTTTGAAATCAGCAAAACTATCATTCTATTGTTGCAAATTTTTAGACAAAGAATCAGAAATAAATTTCTAAGCTTGGAATAAAATATTCAAAAACTAATGTTGCATAACAAAATATGTGGAAAAGACAACAAGTATGTGTTTTATAGCATTGATGTATAAATATAACGTTTATATCACGAACTAAGTGTTAAGCATCTACAGCAAATTTGTAAGTTCTTAATGCACAGTACATATGTGTGATAAAAACAAAACAATCAGTTGAAAACATTGATTTATAGTTATAACATACAATCTAAGAATGAATATTCTAGCTTATAAAAAACTCGTAATCATTTTCCGTACAATACATGCTTGTGAACAAAAATCACAATACTATTCCATATTCATTTATTTTAAACATGGTTGTATAACACATCTTATGTCAATTTTGTGTATTTCCTCTTAGTATCTACAAATGAAGATATAACTAATCAAACTCCGACATAAGAAACCTGGAGAGTGTTTTTTCAAATATCAACACTCATTACATGTTTTTTATAACTCAAAATATCTGTTCAAATCATGTAGTTATATTCAAGGTATCATCAACTTATTACTTTTGTTAACATTGATGTTGAAATTCAAATCATAACAAGCATTTTTTTCAATATAGTAACTAAAATTTGGATAATTTTGGATTTATTTGCAAAAATAACAATTTTTTGATACATTTTCAAAAATAATTGGAAAACCATTTGGAAAATGAGAATTAAAAATAATAATTTCAATTGCATTATTTTGAGAAACTCTTTCAATTTTAAATCAACATAAATATACATATTTTGAGATTTTTTATATTTCATAAATACATTATCTAGTTATTTTGTACATATTAACATATTTTTTCACAAACATTCAAAAACATACATTGGACACAAAAATGCACCTGTTATATCATCAGCCAATGGTCAAAAAATAGATATTCAATGAATATAATATAGTATAGTGTTATAATGAATTACAAATCATAGTATTATAGATATTGTTCTTAAAAAAATCGTTCATTACAATTAAACAAACTATTATTGATGAAAAATAAATTCAAATGATTAGAATTATGACATGTTTTTTATGAGAAATATTGAAATTATTAAATAGTTGAATGATAAAAAATTTATAATGTTAAACTTAACTCCGATTACGAATTGAATTGAAGCTAACGGTATATGTAGTTATTTATAGCATAGAGTGGTTGCCTACCTTGAGTATATATATATCTTAAGTGTGGTAAAAAGTTTATCACTTCAAGCAGTAAACTCTATCAAGTGTATTCTCCGTGAACGTAGCCCCTGCTGATGAACCACGTTATAAGTGTGTCTTCTACGTTTATCGTGTTGTTAGTTTGCTTAGTCATAGATTTAACGTAAGAATTGGTATCATAACAGGTTCCGGTTTGGTGTATGTGTCAGAGTTTTTTGGTGACAGCTTTATAACATATGACTTTTTTTATGTTACAGTATTTGACGATTTTCTGCAAAATGTGGGATTTTCACTGCTGACGGAATTTTTTCTTATCCCTGACGAATTCTTTGTTGTTGACGAGTTCTTTGACAATCAAGAAGAGGATGTTCTATTCGAGCTCGTCTGTGCAGGAGGATAGGTGTGAAGAGGATGAGGAGAAAAGCTCCGGCCTCCCCCTCCTCCAACAAAGATAGGTTGGGAGTGTAGCGGCTGAGCGAGTAGGCCTCACCCGCCCGCGCGTTAGGGCTGTAGGAGCGAAGAAGAAGATTTCTCGCGAAGGTAGGTGGCGGCAGAGGAGAGTAGAGGAGAGCTACACCATTGCTTTTTGGTGTCTGTCACGTTGCATCATAAAAAAATGACTATGATGAAAACATAAAAGAAGAATTACAAACAATAATGAGAAGATACGATCAAAGTGAGCTAATTGCGGACCTAGAGCAACGGTAAAATATGTAGGCAGTTCTTCACTAAAAAACAGATGTCATACCACATTTTTTCTTGTTTGCGTTGTCTCTATTTGCACTTGCCCGAAAAAATTGCTTGATACAACCTCGAGTTTTTTTGACTTTCTACCTGCTCTTTCGCAGTCTGAGCTGCAAAGCACCTTCTTCTACCTTTTCTAAATTTGCGGTTGGGGCTTTAAATGTTTCTCCTGTTTTTAGTACTCTGTATAGCTTACAACGTTTATAACCTACTAACTTTTCAAGCCAAGTCGATTTCCTTAATGATGCATTGAGTTTATCTACCTTGGCAGTACGCCACATGTGTGCGACAGGAAGAATTCTACCACTCCTCCATGCTTGATGAGACTCCTTGATGCGTTCAACGCAATGTTGTAGCTCTAGGTATCCCACTTAGATCATACTAGTGCTTTCATCCAAAAAGTACATCAGCCATACGAATTGAGTATGGAGAGCACGCTTGGCCTTTTCTTCCTCCTCCAAACATGTTGGCTTTGCTGTTTATTTTACAAGGCTGTCCGTATCTAATAAAACAAAGATTGTGTATGGTTAGCTAGCTTCACAAAGTTGCATGGCCACGCAAATTGCACTCGTGACATTCAAATGACAGTTTGAAGTACTTTTTGTAGGGTTGAAAGTGTCATGGTGATCATCTTTGATTTCAATATGTGCAACTTCTTTTGGTCTGACTGGATCCTCATTTAAATCATATATTTGTGATGAATGATTTTTATCAAAGAGGTCTTTAATTACTGCTCATATTCCACCAAAACATATGCTCAAACAAATACGGATGTTGGTCTTTAAATACCCTTTCCTTTGTAGAATAAAAATCTAGACACACATGAAACAAGCAGTGTTAATCAAATATATATATATATATATATACAACCAATATATATATAATATATAACCAAAGAAAGAATTGCAATCTGAGTTGTACCTGATGTATGCAAAAATTGCCTTGTAGTGACCAAAAGCATTCGCATGTATACTTTTCTCGTCTCCAATTTACAAAATACCTTCTATTTGGCTTTGATGTTGAATCCATTCAAGTATGACCACTAGGGTCGCAGAGAAGAGCTACACCATCCCCCTCCCCGCGAAGGCAGGTAGCGGAAGCGGAGGGACCGCAAGAGAGTAGAGGAGCCACGCGCGGTTAGGAATTTAAGGTACTTCCTAAATCTGGAGCTGCCATACGATTTAAGTTTGGCCATAACTAGAACTTCTAGCAACTTCCCCTCGTAGCGACATGTAGTGACAGTCAGGCTCAGCGTGACTTACGGCACAACAGGTTTTTTTGCACGGTTTCTATCACAATTTTCTATATGGTTTAGGGCACAGCGTGATTTGCAACGTGGTTCGT